TCCTTAAGCACTCCATTTCCTCTTTTTGGCTCATACTTTCTTGACTCTTTGAGTCATTTTCTTCTTCCTTAGGGGAACTAGAGAGACGTAATGTCACTCTTTCTTGCTCATGACTACCATTTTTCTCCTTTTCTAATCACTACATGCCTTTCATCATTGTTTTTTTTGAATCCCTTCAACTTTCTACTTTGTTCACTTTCTTTTTGACATATTTCTTTTTGGCTTTTCTTCCTTTTCTTTGCCTTCCCTTTTCTTTATTTTTCTTTTGTTTTTGTTCTTTGTACCTTTTATCACTTTCACATTTCTCGTCTCTCCCCAAGACTTATGCTTTTGCCAATTGTATCAAGAATGTAAGAAAAGATCGGGTACCAAGAGAGGGTCATTATAAAACGGATAAAGGCTTGTAACATGGCTATTGAATGAAAAAGGGCTTCGGCTCAAAGGGATTGACTAGGGATATCACATTGGTAGGCTACGGAAGCTTTCAAGTTTCAAATTGGATCAAGAAGAGCCTACAATCATTTCTCAAGTCGAGCTACACTTAGAATTTTGCCTAGACAAACATTCAGGGCAAGTTCTAGACTTGTTGGCACGGAAATTGGACTTGCAATTCAATACCTCACCTCTCAAGCCGCTGGATTGTTAAAGAGAACAGAGTCGAGGACCCACAACAACCCTAGCTAAGATTGAAAATCACAAATGGCTCAAAGAAATCACTCGATGATTGTTTTAGTCAACACAAGAGTCTAAAGGTCACAACTAGAGCTATTCTTTGCCAATCAACTTGTTTCTAACCATAAGGTAGAAGGTAAATATGTTAGTACCAAGTGAAGCCTGCTTGAGACACTTTTATTCATTACTACTATATATACAAAAATATAAATAAAACGGATTCAATCCCTTAAGAAGGTTGTCACGCCATCCATCGTTGGGAAGATCCACCCAGTTCACACAACATCCACCTTTAGAAAGAACCGTAGAATTAAGAAAATTTAAGGCTCATTGTTCACACAAAACGTAAAAAGAAGCTAACAACTTAAAAAGAATCTATTAAAGTAAATAATAAGCTATGCTACTAAGGAAAACAATGAAAGAAGTTATGAAGTAAACTACGGAAAGTAGACTGAATATGTACAAAATGAAGTAAAGCGAATATATACATAATGGACATGAATATATACATCGAATGGTAAGAATATATACATACCAAAAGTGAAAATAAATATAGATAAAGATAAAGAAAAATAGTATAATGGTTATTACATACCTAATGTCATCAAATCAAAATGGACCACCCCCCAAATGAAAAATAGCATTGTCCCCAATGCTCATAACAAATAAGAACATGAAAAGGGGTAGAGAGTAGAGAAAACTCCCTATGTC